GATGAGCTGCAGCCTGGCTTCAGCTGCAGTGGCACCATAAAGATTCCTCTGTGAAGGAGAGAGACTGCCATTAGAGCAACAGCAAGTTCTGTAAAAGGGAGACGATTCAGACTTTGACTTCAGGACTAAAATAATATCTTACATTTTGCATGTTTCTACAATAAAATGGCAACAAATAATGTTTAACTACAAAGGGGGAAACTGTACAAGTGCCTCGAACCTGCATTCCTTCTGATGGCCAGTAGGGGGAAACTTCCCTGGTTGCAAAAAGGATTCCAATTGTCTAGAAGTCTATGAGGAAATTACTTACAAGCCAAAAACAAAGTGAAAGAAAAGTAATTTAATATTCTTGACTTTTCAACTGAGTAAGCAATATCGGCACACGTTATCATTCTGAATATATTATGCTAATGTTCAGTCCCATTTGCATATTGTGTGCTTTTACTGTGACTTGTTTTCATGCTTAAATGTTAAAAAACTCTTTATTTTTCTCATACTGCCTCTTTTCACCCTCTGTCTGAAACCAGAGCCCAGTCTGCTCTGATTGGTTAGCTGGCTCTGTTGTTATTGGTCAACCGCTTAGAGATGTGTTGGAAAAGTCCCACTTCTTGGCCTATTCAAATGACAGATGCACATTGCTAACCAAGCAGGTGCTAGCTTTAGCTAGTTACTTAGTGTTTGCTATGCCAAAGGTACCTGCCCTGTCAGGGCTCACTCTCCTCCCTGTAACCCACATTAGTTCACCAATTCTAGATAGTGATGGCAAAAAAGTCCAAACCTAAACCATAGTCCACAAACCAATGTATGACATCACTTCGTCATATAGATTCGTTCCTATATATACAATGGCAGAGGGGCTTTCATTTGGTTTCCCTGTACGTGCAACTAATATGATTCAATATACAGTAAGTCTGACTTCAGTTCACAGTTTCAGAATTTTGTTTCAAGATTTGAATTATGAATGCTCAGATGAATAAATAAATCAGCTTGTTTTACTGAACTGAAGAATACTAATGTTCTTGTTAGTATAAATAACAAATGTTTCATGACATACACAGACCTTAGCTGGCACCAAAGCACAACTTTAAAAACATAAGAAAGAAAGGAAAGTGGCAAGTGTTGCTGTTCAATTGCATTTTGCAGCACAAAGTGATATTTAGAGGCAGAATAGTTGCAACAAAGTCAATAGAAATACAAGAACCGAGACAAAGTGGAAAATTCGCTCTGGGCATCTCACATTTAGGGGGAGACGCAGTACATCTGCTTGAGCTGAAAATGTTTCAACTTGAATGAAAATGTGTGTTTGTTCCAAGTTTCTCTGACACCATGAATATAGACAGAAGCAGAAAGAAGAGTGTCTGGAGAAAATAAGTGGATATCATGGCAACTTTGGCAGTCAGAGCTGTCACACATCAGTTGTCCATTGAATGCTTGAGGACACAAGATTGCAGCCAAAACACAAAAACACCACTCCGGTGGCAAAATGAGCCAAAAACCAAAATCCCTACAGCACTTTCATACTATTCTACCATTGCCAACAATGTAATACATAACGATCCAGATTTGGGTTCAAAAGTCGACTGTCACGTTCCTGTTTCAATTAATATCATGTCATTTTTAACTTGAAACTCACTTTGCCTGTCTTTAAACACAAAGATCTAAAGGCTGCAACAGCTGAAGCTTCCTTCAAATAAGTACTTCAATCATAAATACATATTATTATTCTTGCAGGCTGAAATCCAAACTTAAGTAAGACTGGCAAAGGGACACGTGATTAGAACTTGGAAAACATTTATTTTTATTTTCAGGTTGCCTTAAAGGTCCCATGTCGTGTTATGAAGGTTTTTATGCATGTAAACGGTCTGCAGAGTCACAAACCCTCAAAGTACACCCTGTAGCGCAGGGGTCACCAACCTTTTTTAGGATGAGAGCCACTTTCAAAAAATAAAACAAGTCGGGGGCTACTTTTATTCCTCTTTTTTTGTTTTTTGCAGTGTATATATTTAGCACATTTTAACATTATTATATGCTTACCTTTAACCTTTGTGTGCTGTTTGGGTCTGTGGGACCCGTTGCAGTGTTTACTAAAATGAAATGTATGCAATCTAATTAATTTGACCCGCTTTATTTGGGGGTGGACCTCACATCCTCTAGCGCAGGGGTTCCCAACCTTTTTTCCCAAGAGCCCCCCCAAATGACTCCTGTTGGAAGTTGCGCCCCCCCCCCCACACAAGGGGGGGGGGGGGGGGTAATTAAAGTTTATGCTACAACTACTGTCACAAACTGGATGAATGTGAAGTATTTTGTTAAAGGAGGATGAAAGCGTAATTAAGGAGCACTATTGGAGTGACTTTGATGGCTATTGGACTCAGGATTAATTAATTTGGATTCCCACTGTATGAAGAAATTCAAGGACGGCGCAAGTGGAAACAATTCACAAAGGGATTAAACTGTTTAAAACACATGCTCAAAGTAAGCCGGAGTTTGCCGATGTGTTTATGTGGATTCAAAAGTCGTAAATAATCTACAAAATGGAGGAGACCGATCTGATCGGAGCAACTGTGACAAATAATCCAACTGAAACCGGCATGGACAATGACTATGTTTTAAAAATGCGCTTATCCAGAAAAGCCTGGTTTGGACACTTTACGGGCAGAAGAAACATTTCTATTAAAGAAAGAATTATACGTTTCTGTCTTTTTATGCATATAATAGCTACTAACTTTGCATTCAAATTAATTTATCAATTATTTTTTATATTTTATTGTAATGTAGAGACAAGACTTTTAGTGACAATCATGTATTGCGTTACAATTATATGTAAAAAAAAAAGAAAAAAAAAAAAAAAGAAAGTCTAAATATGATATTTGGCGCGCCCCCCAGGTTGGGAACCACTGCTCTAGGGGGGTCCGGGGGCATGCAACCCCGGGAAGATTTGTTTTTAAATGTTGAAGTGAAATGCATCAATCTGGTGCACTTTGAGCACAACATGAATTGATGGATACAGCTCTCAACACTCAGATGAAAGGGAGCTGTATACTTTTCAATAATCCAAACATCTTTAGAATATGATCACAACCAATAACAAATCATTTAAACTTGTTTATTCTTATCTTATGTTACCTAGTTAGCATTCTTTCTTTTATTTATGCATATTTTACTAATCACTCCCCTTTTAAACTGTTTTATTTTTACTTAGAAATGACCATGACATGGGACCTTTAAAGGAAATGTCCCCAGAGTTAAAGGGGACCTATCATGCAAGATGCACTTTTGTACGTCTTTTATACATGAATATGTGTCCCCGGTGTTCCAGGGAACTCACCAAGTGTCAGAAAACACAACCCTCTCTATTTTCCTCCATACCCAAATCTCTAAAAAAAAAGGGGCTGCAACGGATCTGATAAAAACTGATCCAGATTTGAACACTGTCCTGACGTCAGGACGGTGGCGCTACGGCTATTGGGCCAACTCTCCACCTATCAGGGGAATGTGGGGTTGGGCCACGGTCGGCCATTGCCGCTCGAAAGCGCTGGAGACGCTGTAGTACATATGCCAGGCCTGTAAGTGGCGCTGTAGTCTGCCACAAAAGCAGCGAAGAAGACTTCGCACGCATGGTTGCCATGGTTACCCTTCTGTTTATTCTCCGCTGTGGCTTTTTTTCTCCCTCCCCGAGGCAAGCGTTTGCTCCTGCTGCTTTAATTCAATGCAATCCCTCCCCGTTGAGGCAAGCACTGTAATTCTCTCTGGTTAGTCCACCAGCAGATGACAAACACCCACCTCTCCGCCTCTTCCAAGGAACGAGGGGACCGTGCGGCAGAGTTTCAGTTAGGTTTTCTTTCGCCGGTCAAGATATCCGTTAAAAGTTTAAATCTTCCGGACAAAATTAGAAAAGTGCCGGTCAAAGGTCTTCTTTGTTATTTATTGAGCTTTAAAACAAATGAATAACGACTCTATATAATAATATAATAAAACACGGAGGACGGAGATCTATTTTCTCCCCCTCTTCTGACTTGATCAGAGCACGCTCCCCTCTCCTGCAGGGGGGCGTGGTCAGCTGCAGCTCACAGAATCAGCCCCCTGCAAAAACAGGGCTGGAGAACAGCAAATAGAGCGAAATGAGGCATGGCTAAAATGCATGATCTGTTTGGTATTTTGAAAACAGAAACGTATAAATATACCTTATATAGGTATGGTCCTACAATATATCATTTAAATATAGCATGATAGGTACACTTTAACTTCATTTCGATCACAGATGTTCTGCCTCGGTTAAAGGTGAGGAAATAAACATGCACCTGCTTTCTTTGGTCAGGGTGCCATGAAATGTAAAATTATTATCTTATTAGATAGTCAAGTAGTAACTAGTTTTTCTCCGTGTTGGCCTTGTCTCTACAGTCAGAATAAAAAATCCTGCAAAATATCTCTTACCTACTCAAGGAGCCCAGTTTCAGCACCAGCAAAGTGGTTCAATAAAGTACTCAGTCGGACAATGCAATAATCAAAGTGTACAAGCCTCTTACCTACCTTTACTTTCTCTTTACTCATCTGCAATGGATCAGAAGATGGAAACATTTACACACTACTTCAGTTATACCCTAGTATAGGTGGGTTTGTTATGGGAAAACAAGCTAAAAATAGACACAAGTAGGCCTTTCAGGATTGGGCAATTGGACGATTATACGGGCCATCAGGTGTTAAGTGTTTGTCCCAGAATTGAATACTTGTTGTAGCCATTTCTACCTGGGTTAGTGGGATTTTTGTCCAGTGAGGAAGGGGCTTTTTACTGTTGGATACACAACTCTGCCATTACATGTGAACACAACTAAAGTACAAAAGATACATGATTACATTGGCATTTTTGAGTGACATTGTTTGGCAGACAGAGTAATAACCATCCATGTACTTCAATGTTGAAATGTTCCATTTATTGTGTTTGTGCTATCTTGCACCCCCTGTTAGTTTGTGTATGTTTGACAGTATGGAGCAGCCTACAGTACCTGTTTGGTCCTCTCCCGCAGGTCTTTATCTTCATAATGGGGGTGGTTGGTGAGAACTCTGCCTGTGCACAGCTTGATGCCAGCCAGAAGCTGCATGCTGCCGGCAAATACAGCCCGCTTAGGGGTCTTTGTGCTGGGGAAAACAGAGAGAAGGACACATCATTCACCGCTGTAAATATATAGATAAAACATACCATGGCAACTGTTTGACTCACCAGAGTATGTTTAAAACAAGAGATGAGTGATAAAAAAGAAAATATAGCAGAAAGATGTTTTGCAGTTTGAAGGAGATTAAAAAGTTTGGAGGGTATTCAGAGGAACATGCAGTCATCAAAAAGTTTGATTGAATTTGACTTTCATTTATTTTTTTCTAGCTTCGTTATTCAGTCCACATTCCTTTGCTTTTCTGCATTATCCCCAATAATTGGGACATATTGATGGTATTTAAACGGTTTTTTTCTCAAATGTGTCTTCAAGGACAGAAAGTGGTTAGATAGCGGCCAAAAAAAAAAAACTTTAAATCTCAAAGAGATTACAAAAGCTGTCAGTTTACGCTGGTTAAGAACAAACCATGGAGAAACCATGTGAGGCTTTAGGATTTTAGCAAGTTATACGAGAGGGGTGTGTGTGTGTGTGTGTGTGTGTGTGTGTGTGTGTGTGTGTGTGTGTGTGTGTGTGTGTGTGTGTGTGTGTGTGTGTGTGTGTGTGTGTGTGTGTGTGTGTGTGTGTGTGTGTGTGTGTGCTTGTTTATTTGCATGCATTACCAAACTTAACCTTTTTATGCAGTGAGGCAAACTCAAAAAGGGTAAGAAGGGGATAAGGATTAGGAGGAGCTCCCCTGGGATGATACAAAATAAATAATTAGCAGGGGAATGATATCGACATTAGGTTGGGTCATTACATATTGTTCGATTGAATAAAGACTGTATAATTTGTTGCGTGATAAAAAACAAATGATATTGTGATGATAGTAAGAAAGCTGAATTGCTATTGGCTCAACAGTGGAGTTAGTTCTCGAAAGGTAAGTGACAGAACTTGGGTCCAACAGAAAGCGTCTTAGACCCCATTTACACGCAAACGCAAATGCATACGAAACGCAAACGAACCGAATATGATATCAAAAGTCTTCCGTTCACACGAGACCGCAAGGGAGCGCTGGAGACGCTGTAGTACATATGCCGGGCCTGTAAGTGACGCTGTACTTTTGCTACAAAATACACCAAAAGCAGCGAAGAAGACCCCCGAGCATGGTTGCCATGGTTGCCCTTCTGTTTATGCCCCGCGGTGGATTTAGCAACATGTAGTTCATGTAATTCTCCATGTCCACTTGTTGCTGATGGTTGTGGTAGAGGAGCTGTAGATTTTGCACTAACATCTGTAGCATGGTCAGTAGCAGTAGCAGTAGCTACTGACAGTAGCTACTGACCATGCTACAGCAGTGAGCAGCAGAGGTGGCGAGAGGTGGGGCTATGGCTTCATCGTTATCAGGAAATGATCGTATAGGGCGTACACACGGAGCCGTTTGGCCCCCCAGAGCGTTCCGTTTGCAGTTATATCCACCTTGGGACCCGTTATCGTTTGCGGGGTCCGTTTCCGCGTTTCCGTTACGGCCTCGTGTGAACGAATACGAAAGAGAAAAGTAGCGGATACAACCGTTTGCGTTCTCGTGTAAACAGCACCTTAAGCTCCCTACACACCAAGCCGATTTTCGGCGTCGATAGATGTCGGGCCGTCGATGAGCGTTGTGTCGCCATGGATGTATAATAAGAACTGGATACGGCGTGGGAGGCGGGGTCTCGTTCTTTCCTATGAGAGCTGCTCATTGGCGCATGAGGACAAAATGGCCCAACTTTTGAGAGCGAAACGTCAGATTATCCGTCGGCTGTCAGAGCAGAAGTGCCCGTATGTGCGCTCATACAGCATGCACAGTTGAGTTGCCCCTTATGCCCCCCGAGCTCCCACTCTCAGATGCGCGTTCATAATGCCGAGGAAAATAACTCTCAGAATAACGTTATTAGCACATTTTACAACTTGAGGACCTACTTTTTTTAATAAGGTCTATACAAATGTTCATACTGGGTAGTTTATTTGGTTCAAAAAATATCATCCAACGATTTACAGACCACTCTTTCCCAATGTTAGTCAATGGGAAAAAGTATTTCCGGGCCCAGTGACGTCACGGACTGATACGGAAGTTGCAGTACCGCCGTTTGGACACAACGAATATTTTCCTCAGAGTCCGGCGCACTTCCTGGGGGCTTGCGTGTCGCCCTACTCAGATTGGTGTGTACTGCACCGTCGTGTCTTTTCGGCCGTGCCGACACCTTCCGCCCATACTTGCCAACCCTCCCGATTTTCGCGGGAGACTCCCGATTTCATTGCCCTTTCCCGGTTTCCTCCCGGGGTCATATTTCTCCCGCATTTCTCCCGATTTCTGACAAAATCAGATTTACTCACAACTGTTTCCACTCGGACTTTAATACAGCTACACCATTGTTTGGTTTCCATGGTAGCACGTCTCTTTAGTAGCGCACACAACTGAAAGTCTGAGAGGGTGTTCAGCATGGGCAGGAAGATAGTCACAGAAAACAGAACAAGAATGGATAACTCTACCCTCTGCTCACTCCTTTCCACTTACAACTACAATAAGCATGTTAATGTTTAATCTAACAGCTCCGTCGATCCACTAGCACCCCCCCTCTACCCCCTACCTGCGGTGGTTTTGAAATGCTCCCGATTTCTGAGGTCTCAAGGTTGGCAAGTATGCTGCCGCCGCCAATTCGACATGTTGAATCGGGAGGCCGTCGGCCAAAGAAATCACTCTGATTGGCTGTTCAGCTTAGCGAATGAGTGCATGAAACGGAAGTGAGGGACCCAAACAAACTATTAAGAAGGCAAATCTGAGATTTCATTTAACTCCAGCTCTCGACACAGGTTCGGGAAAGCCCCATGAGCTTCTCGTTGTAGAGTGAAAATGGAACGCACACGCTATCTGTTGTTTGTTTATATCACGCAGTCTGTTCTTCTTCTCTCGGTTATCACGCAGTCTGTCTTCCGGTTGTTGCCTCTTTTGAATGACGAATACACACTACCGCCGCCTGCTGGTAAGGAGAGTTATTGCCACTCATGCATGCGCAGTTCGTACGTGCAACTTGGCCGTCGGCTGAAGTCTTTGCGGTGTGTTCCAGTGCGAAACATGGCCAAGACGCAGGAGACGTGAGCGTCGGGACGTGTTCTTTGGTGTTCTTTGGTGTTCTTTGGTGTTTTTTGGTGTCAGTTTGGGGTGTAAGAGGCTTTAGATCGACACTAGAGAAAAATAGCCCGGACCTTTTCAGTGAATAATGCTCCTCTGGTTGAGTCTTTACCTTGCCATGAATGCATGGAAGTGTACGTTTCTCTACTGGTAACAACCTTTAACATCTTGTCATTATGTGTGCCCCTACAGGCTCAACAGGAAAACGTCATTTGGGTGAATGTGCGACAGTCCTGGCAAAATAAGAGCCTGTCAAAATGAATGCAGCTGTGTCCTGTGTGTAGGTGTTTGTTTGTGTATCTGTGTATGTGCGGAGGCAGGCACAAGTCACAACAACAAATGGCAGAGCCTACAAAAATAATAAATATTTTGTAGGTAAAAAGAAGACTTTAGGGTACACTTTCTGTATTCGGCAACTACACGATGTGCACTTCAGATTTGTGATCAATTTTGTTTGGTTGGCTTTTTCAACAAACGAAACTAAAACACTTTTTCTCTAAACATGTTTTTTCATGTCTTCAAGATTTTTGTTATTGCAAAAATACGTAGATGCTGTATTTATCGATTAGAAACTTGTAGTAATCTGGACTGCAAAATGACAAAAATGTTGGCATTTTATTTTTGCATATTTCCGTTCGCACCATTGTTGTATGTTGTTTACAGGAAAAAGGCAATAAGAAGGACAGAATCTGAGAATACAGCCATCATGCTCTCCCCTCTCTGTGACCCGTATGACTCATTCATTTCAAACATCATCCCGATCCTGATGCCTGTCTTCCCTGCGAATGTGTGGGCCTGTAAACCTTATTGAGATGGCATACTGTGATTCGAGGCAAGCTTGGAAAAAGTCTCCTGTCACATGCTACGATGTTTAAAGCCATGCAGAGTTGCAGAAGTTTATTCTTTTTGTAAAACAACTTGGATTACAATGCGCTGAGAGGTCAAGGCATTTTTGGCAAAAAACGCTAATAATATACTGCCAACCCCAGCTTTCATATCCTTTCAACAATGATTCCTAAATTGCTAAAAATGTCAATATTCTACCCACAGACCTCACTGCAACAATGCTTTTCTGACACCATAAATCCATCATATCATCAGCAAACCATTATAAAATAAATATTGGAATGTTTTTACACATGTTAATGAGGAAGAAGACGCTTCAAACCCCAATAAGAAGTAGCCAAACCCACACACATGCACGACATGGCTACATCATTATTAATAAAAATGGCCAGGTTACAGTCCATTGACACAGAAATACTAATCATAGGCTAATGTTCATATCGTACGCTTTCTGGGTGTGTGTATATGTGTGTGTGTATGGCACAATAATGACTAGCCACAAGTCTTATTTATGAAGGCATTAGCTGAATTTGCACATATGCATGTGTGTATAAATGCGTGCTCTGGGCAGTGTGTGGGTGGATCTCTTGGCCTCCTGACCTGTAGTAGAAGTGGGTCATTTCCATCTTGCCTATCTTCTCTCTGTGAATGTGCAATTCTAATCGCCCACTGCATCCCAGAGAGGATCTAGCACTGCCTCCAAGTTGATTTACATTTAATTCCATGTTTATATTCTCATATGTTAATGCCAGAAGGCAAAGGCATTCACCCCACTGACACTATTAAGATGGAATAATGACATTAATTGAGTAAATAGCAGGGGTCGGCGGGTCACTTCAGTTTAAATAATGCTTGTATAATGCAATATTGGATTTTGTCAGCCTTTGAGAATAAGCTAGAAGAGAGCTTTTGCACCAATGGACTGTATATGCCAAATATATGCATGAATCATGTGTACAACAAATTAGATGCATGTACAATAAAATATATATTTTATAGTAGTGTATATTTAAGCAGGTTTATATTATCTGTCC